AGAGCAGTGTTCTTCACTAAGTTCTAGAGCAGTGTTCTTCACTAAGTTCTACAGCAGTGTTCTTCACTAAGTTCTAGAGCAGTGGTCTTCACTAAGTTCTAGAGCAGTGTTCTTCACTAAGTTCTAGAGCAGTGTTCTTCACTAAGTTCTAGAGCAGTGGTCTTCACTAAGTTCTAGAGCAGTGTTCTTCACTAAGTTCTACAGCAGTGTTCTTCACTAAGTTCTAGAGCAGTGTTCTTCACTAAGTTCTAGAGCAGTGTTCTTCACTAAGTTCTAGTGCAGTGTTCTTCACTAAGTTCTAGAGCAGTGTTCTTCACTAAGTTCTAGAGCAGTTTTCTTCACTAAGTTCTACAGCAGTGTTCTTCACTAAGTTCTAGAGCAGTGGTCTTCACTAAGTTCTAGAGCAGTGTTCTTCACTAAGTTCTAGAGCAGTGGTCTTCACTAAGTTCTAGTGCAGTGTTCTTCACTAAGTTCTAGAGCAGTGGTCTTTACCAAGTTCTAGAGCAGTGGTCTTCACTAAGTTCTAGAGCAGTGGTCTTCACCAAGTTCTAGAGCAGTGGTCTTCACCAAGTTCTAGAGCAGTGGTCTTCACTAAGTTCTAGAGCAGTGGTCTTCACTAAGTTCTAGTGCAGTGTTCTTCACTAAGTTCTACAGCAGTGTTCTTCACTAAGTTCTAGAGCAGTGGTCTTCACCAAGTTCTAGAGCAGTGGTCTTCACTAAGTTCTAGAGCAGTGTTCTTCACTAAGTTCTACAGCAGTGTTCTTCACTAAGTTCTAGGGCAGTGTTCTTCACTAAGTTCTATAGCAGTGTTCTTCACTAAGTTCTAGAGCAGTGTTCTTCACTAAGTTCTAGAGCAGAGTTCTTCACTAAGTTCTACAGCAGTGTTCTTCACTAAGTTCTAGAGCAGTGTTCTTCACTAAGTTCTAGGGCAGTGTTCTTCACTAAGTTCAAAAGCAGTGTTCTTCACTAAGTTCTACAGCAGTGTTCTTCACTAAGTTCTAGAGCAGAGTTCTTCACTAAGTTCTACAGCAGTGTTCTTCACTAAGTTCTACAGCAGTGGTCTTCACTAAGTTCTACAGCAGTGTTCTGCACTAAGTTCTAGGGCAGTGTTATTCACTAAGTTCTAGGGCAGTGTTCTTCACTAAGTCCTACAGCAGTGTTCTTCACCAAGTTCTAGTGCAGTGTTCTTCACTAAGTTCTACAGCAGTGTTCTTCACTAAGTTCTAGGGCAGTGTTCTTCACTAAGTTCTAGGGCAGTGTTCTTCACTAAGTTCTAGAGAAGTGTTCTTCACTAAGTTCTACAGCAGTGTTGTTCACTAAGTTCTACAGCAGTGTTCTTCACTAAGTTCTAGGGCAGTGTTCTTCACTAAGTTCTAGAGAAGTGTTCTTCACTAAGTTCTACAGCAGTGTTCTTCACTAAGTTCTACAGCAGTGGTCTTCACTAAGTTCTAGAGCAGAGTTCTTCACTACATTCTACAGCAGTGTTCTTCACCAAGTTATAGTGCAGTGTTCTTCACTAAGTTCTACAGCAGTGGTCTTCACTAAATTCGAGAGCAGTGGTCTTCACTAAGTTCTAGAGCAGTGGTCTTTACTAAGTTCTACAGCAGTGTTCTTCACTAAGTTCTAGAGCAGTGGTCTTCACTAAGTTCTAGAGCAGTGTTCTTCACTAAGTTCTAGAGCAGTGTTCTTCACTAAGTTCTACAGCAGTGTTCTTCACTAAGTTCTAGAGCAGTGGTCTTCACTAAGTTCTAGAGCAGTGTTCTTCACTAAGTTCTAGAGCAGTGTTCTTCACTAAGTTCTAGAGCAGTGGTCTTCACTAAGTTCTAGAGCAGTGTTCTTCACTAAGTTCTACAGCAGTGTTCTTCACTAAGTTCTAGAGCAGTGTTCTTCACTAAGTTCTAGAGCAGTGTTCTTCACTAAGTTCTAGGGCAGTGGTCTTCACTAAGTTCTAGAGCAGTGGTCTTCACTAAGTTCTAGAGCAGTGTTGTTCACTAAGTTCTAGGGCAGTGGTCTTCACTAAGTTCTAGAGCAGTGGTCTTCACTAAGTTCTAGAGCAGTGTTCTTCACTAAGTTCTAGGGCAGTGTTCTTCACTAAGTTCTAGAGCAGTGGTCTTCACTAAGTTCTAGAGCAGTGTTGTTCACTAAGTTCTAGAGCAGTTTTCTTCACTAAGTTCTACAGCAGTGGTCTTCACTAAGTTCTACAGCAGTGTTCTTCACTAAGTTCTAGAGCAGTGGTCTTCACCAAGTTCTAGAGCAGTGGTCTTCACTAAGTTCTAGTGCAGTGTTCTTCACTAAGTTCTAGAGCAGTGTTCTTCACTAAGTTCTAGAGCAGTTTTCTTCACTAAGTTCTACAGCAGTGTTCTTCACTAAGTTCTAGAGCAGTGGTCTTCACTAAGTTCTAGAGCAGTGTTCTTCACTAAGTTCTAGAGCAGTGGTCTTCACTAAGTTCTAGTGCAGTGTTCTTCACTAAGTTCTAGAGCAGTGGTCTTCACCAAGTTCTAGAGCAGTGGTCTTCACTAAGTTCTAGAGCAGTGGTCTTCACCAAGTTCTAGAGCAGTGGTCTTCACCAAGTTCTAGAGCAGTGGTCTTCACTAAGTTCTAGAGCAGTGGTCTTCACTAAGTTCTAGTGCAGTGTTCTTCACTAAGTTCTACAGCAGTGTTCTTCACTAAGTTCTAGAGCAGTGGTCTTCACCAAGTTCTAGAGCAGTGGTCTTCACTAAGTTCTAGAGCAGTGTTCTTCACTAAGTTCTACAGCAGTGTTCTTCACTAAGTTCTAGGGCAGTGTTCTTCACTAAGTTCTATAGCAGTGTTCTTCACTAAGTTCTAGAGCAGTGTTGTTCACTAAGTTCTAGAGCAGTTTTCTTCACTAAGTTCTACAGCAGTGGTCTTCACTAAGTTCTAGAGCAGTGTTGTTCACTAAGTTCTAGAGCAGTTTTCTTCACTAAGTTCTACAGCAGTGGTCTTCACTAAGTTCTAGAGCAGTGGTCTTCACTAAGTTCTAGTGCAGTGTTCTTCACTAAGTTCTACAGCAGTGTTCTTCACTAAGTTCTACAACAGTGTTCTTCACTAAGTTCTAGAGCAGTGGTCTTCACTAAGTTCTAGAGCAGTGGTCTTCACTAAGTTCTACAGCAGTGTTCTTCACTAAGTTCTAGGGCAGTGTTCTTCACTAAGTTCTAGAGCAGTGGTCTTCACTAAGTTCTGGAGCAGTGTTCTTCAGTAAGTTCTACAGCAGTGTTTTTCACCAAGTTCTAAGGCAGTGTTCTTCACCAAGTTCTAGAGCAGTGTTCTTCACTAAGTTCTAGAGCATCTCCCTCTCGCTCACTCTCTCTCTCCAATTCTAAGAAGACAAATATTGTGCCATGCTAGGTGCACTTTGAGTCTACGTGAAGTGTCGAAGACTCGCTAGCAGGAGGTCATGGAACAGACCCATCTGCCATGAGTTGACTGAATGAGATGACTGACAGATGTACCAACTGTGCTCCCCATTGTGCCAACTTTGTGTGTTTTAGCTTCCCGGTGCTCCGCTCTTTGTTGTGAGCGTCGTTCTTCCGCCGTTTGATATTGGTGGATGGCGACTGCCTCCAACTGCCCGGTAGAATCCTGCACGTACCTCCACAGAGGCCCATCTGGACACCGCTGGTACCAGTCACCGGCAAGTTCAATCAGCTCCTACACCTGTACCACATCAGTCCATCTCGTTTCTAGCCCGTGCCCCGCCCATTTACCCCCATCTCTCCGGCCAAACAGAAGCTGCTTGGGCATGCAATGGCTGATCATGCCGGCTACATGACCCAGCCAACACAGCCTCGTTTGCTGGAGAGGATCACTGATGGGTCTGTGTCCAGATATTTCATGGATCTGAGCTCCTCACACAATCCAGTCTGGTAAAATCCAGGATGAATCGTAGGCAGGCTAGCCTGAATGTTTCCAACCAGCGAAGATGTTCCTTTAGATGGCTCCACGTTTCGCAGGCATAGAGAAGGAAGGAAATGATCGTGGCCAAGAAGACCTGAAGCTTAGTGTGGAGCGACAGACCAGATTGCTACCATACAGCGTTACGCAGCCGATGGAAAGATAATACCGCTGAATTCATTCGGAGTGAGACCTCGGCTGCTAAACTGGAGCTGGTTATAAGCAGACTGTCAAGGTACGGAAACTTCACCACTCTCTCCACAACTGTCCCATCACTCAATCTTCACGACCCACTCCAGCACTCTCTCCAATTCATTCTTCACGACCCTCCGCGCCACTTCACTCCACCAACAAAACTTCCATAACCACCATCCTCACCCCTCTCTCCAATCGTAACACCACCACCGTCTCCACCACCACCTCCATCTCCACCACGACCGTGTTCAACTCGGCCCTCTCCGCCTCCCTATCACGGTTACCGCCATGACGGTGGGTCTTCATCCAGCAAAGACCCATCTCTCCACCACCTCCCTCTCCACCACGAAACAAAAACAAAGATCCCCCGTATAGCCTTCAACAGACCGTTGGGACAAGTGTTGGTAGACCACCACCTATGAAGGCCGGCACGGCACACAAGGGGCTGGATGGCCAACACCACACCCGGCTGCCGTGCGCTAACCACGGCACTACCTCTCCCCAATGCACGATCTCCATCACCACCACCATCACCACCACCATCTCGAACAGCCACTCCACTAACACATATCAGCACCACCACCTTCTCCATCACTACTCCACCAACACTCTCTCCACGAGCCTCCCACTCCACCTCCCTCTCCAATTCTCTTCTCCTGCTCGCGCCTCGTCCCTCTCTTTCCCCCCTCTCTCCAAAATCCCCGCTCCAACGCCCTCGCCACCGACATCGCTTCGTCTCCTGCACCGCAACGCTCCAAGCGGGAAGGGGGGGAGTTCACGGCGTTGCATTTTGCGGGGGCGGGGGGAGGACGGAGGAGTCCGTAGAAGGAAGCCGCGATGGGGAAGCCTCGCTCACAGAAAGAGAGCCGATTGCAAGAGTCGCTGCCGCGGCCGAACCCGTACGAGTGGCATCTGTGGGGAGACGCGGGCAGTGGCACGGGCAGAGAGACCGAGAGAGACAGTGAGGCGCCATGGTCGACTGCGTGAGTGGCGAGTTCCCCGACTCCACTGCGCTCGGCTCGGAAACTGAGTGGGGCAGCAGCAGCACCAGCAGCGAGGGCAGCAGCAAGGGCAGCCCCCGGAGAGACTCCGGCTGCCCCCAGGTGAGAGCGATTTTAGCAGTTACAGCCCACTTAGCCCTTAGCTTATTTATTTCAGAAGCGACCTGGCCACAAATGATAGCTCAACCAAGTGGCTTATCACGTGGAAATGTATAGCAGCCGAATACTCTGAACGTATGCTTCTAAGTGTGGAGGGAAAACCCAGAGGACCCGGAGAATAAATCCACGCGACCACGGGAAGAGAGAGAGACACGCAAACTCCAAATATACAGCAGGCGTCAGGGTCGGCATCGAATAACCTAAACAATCTCAAATTGCCCACTCGTTCTATCTCAAAACCAGAAGCCGGACGAGCAGAGGCGAGCGACGAGGCGAGAGAAGAACCGAATCGCCGCGCAGAAGAGCCGCGAGAAGCAAACTCAGAGAGCCGACAGCCTCCACCAGGTGAGCCGCAACGCCAATGCCCCCACGAAATGTGTCAAGCGGCCGACGAAACAAACGGCGGCGTTCTCGAAGTTGCAAAAAGCTACGGGCGAATACGTTTATTGGATTGAGAAAGACTATCGTTGTTGTTGTTGTTATGATTATTAGAGCTTGGGTAATGATGATGTTGATGGGAAGAGGGAATTGCAGAGTAGAGCAGTGCGTGGGAAGAAGTAGATAGAGTGATCTGCAGCGTGGTGGGTGTGTGGGTGGGTGAGTGAGTGGGTGAGTGAGTGGGTGAGAGACTGGGTGAGAGAGTGGGTCAGTGAGTGGGTGAGTGGGTTAGTGTGTGGGTGAGTGGGTTAGTGTGTGGATGAGTGAGTGGGTTAGTGGGTGAGTGAGTGGGTTAGTGAGTGGGTGAATGGGTTGGTGAGTGGGTGAATGGGTTGGTGAGTGGGTGAGTGAGTGGGTGAGTGGGTGGGTGGGTGCGGGTGTTGTTTCGACCTAAAGTGTGCATGGTTGTTGAGGAGACAAAAACGACCAGGGCGGTCGGCAACCTGAGTCTCCGGAGCCGCATGCGGCTCATTATCGACTGCTCCGTGACGTCATTTATTGAGGGCCACCGTTTCGTATTCACCACGCAATGCATTGCGGGTCTTGAAATGTCGTTTTTTGTTTAACCGATTCGGTAACATGGGCGGAGGAATCGACGAGTGACTTTCACAGCGAAAGTAACCGTGGCAGTAGCGAGAGAAGAGCGACACGGAGGCAAATGGCCATCGGCTCTGATATCTCTCGCACACTGACCTTGATCGTGACTGAGAATCGAACCCTAGCCGCTGGGTTCGTTGCGCGGGTGCCCGAACCACCGTGCCGAGCACGCCTCCAGATGAAAAACAGCGACGTCATTGTGTTTATCACCCTCACAATCTCAACTCACCATCTATCCACCTCCTGTCCTCACCACCTACTCACCACCACCACCCCCCACGCCGCCGCGCAGGAGAGCGAGTTTCTGGAGCAGGAGAACGCGGCGCTGAGACGCGAGGTGCGCGCGCTGAGCAGGCAGGCGCACATCCTGTTCGGCGTCATCCGCGCTCACGAGTCTCGCTCCTGCCTCCTGACAGCCGCGGGGCCCAACCACCACCATCAGCAACACCACCACCACCACCAGCAGCAGCACCACCACCAGCAGCAGCAGCACCACCACCACCACCAGCAGCATCAGCACCACTACCAGCCCGTCGTGTCGCCGCACCTGTTGGCACCACCCCTCATGGCCCCCCCGGGCGCTGCTGTGGGATACGCGCCCGCTGATGTTGACTCGGCCGCGGGGCTCGAATCCGCGGGGAGCTTCGCGGTCACGCAGGGCGGCAGCGGCGGCGTCAGTTAGGCAGGCGCCATCCATGGCAGCATCATCGACTTGCGGATGGAGCAGTCACCGCATGCCCATGGTGGTGGTGGTGGGGGGGGGGGAGCATTTGTACCGTACGTATAACACCGCATTCTCCGGACTGTAAGACGCTCCGGTGAGCGAGGCGCTACGCACCCAGCCACCCGCTCCGGCAACAACTAGGAAACATGGAATAAAACGTGTGCCACGTGTCAATAAAGTGGCACTAATTCTGGTCACGCACGCAGACAGCGACCGTATTATAAGACACATCCCTCACTCTTTGTTTCCTTTAAAATGCAGGGGTGTGGTGTTTATGGGTAACGTTCAACTAAAGTTGCAACTAAAGTTACATTCAAAGTTACATTCAACATTTCTGGGAGGCTCAACTGGAACACATGGCCAGCTGGAAGCCACCTCCCCACCGCCTTTTGGCGTCATCTGGTCTAACACCATGTGCGACTAGGCTCTAAGGAAAGCTGTCTCGGGTGTGGACCAATCAACTTCAAGGACAGGGCATACATTATCAGAGTTATGTTTTTTGTTTGCATTATGACTGCAGGTATTGTGGTCTATGCAAACATGACTCCTTGTAAAAAAAAGGTGTCAGTTTTGTTGCCAGATTAAAGGGTAAAAAAACAATTATCATATTTTGCTACTGGCAAATGAGGTTCCAATGGTGTAAATGCTTACCCCGAGCTCTCATACTCTGATGGTACATTGTCTTTGAGTTGTGCGCCTTTTGGCGTCATCTGGTCCAACACCATGTGCGACTAGGCTCTAAGGAAAGCTGTCTCGGGTGTGGACCAATCAACTTCAATGACAGTGCATACATTATCAGAGTTATGTTTTCTGTTTGCATTCCGACTGCAGGTATTGTGGTCAATGCAAACATGACTCCTTGTAAAAAAAAGGTGTCAGTTTTGTTGCCAGATAAAAGGGTAAAAAACCAAATATCACCTCCCCACCTGTACATAACCACGCCCACTCGCCTGCTGGCGCCGCCCACACGAGGAGTGTCTCGCCGACCGTTGGCCCCGCCCATTTTACATAACCACGCCTACTCGGTCCACTAGCAACGCCCACAGGGCGAGCGGATTTGCTGTTTCGGGCCTTTGCCCCGCCCACTCCTCAGGTAGCCCCGCCCCGTGATCGTTTCATTAACACATTGTCCTGCGGAGGGAGCTGGCAGGAACGTTGGGTTGCTCGGTCAATGGCCAGGGTCAACGGCGGCGTGGTGTATTCCGCAAATATGGCCGACTGTGAGGGCGGGCACAAGTCGGCGTGAGTAGGTTAAACGTTGAGTTTTATAAGGGCACCACGGGGTGACCAGCCCCTCCCCACCCAGCACCACCCCTCACCCAGCCCCTCCCCACCCTTCCCTCCCCACCCTCCCCACTCAGGCCCTCCCCACCCTCTCCTCCCCACCCAGCCCTCCCATTTTTGGATTCACGACGGACGGACGGATACAATAATCCCCTGTGGGCTGGTGGAACCAGGTGGTTCCTACCAGTATTCATTTCGCAATTCGGTAGATTGTTGTGGATCGCTCTTGTTGGCCGACGCCATCAATTGCCTAAGACTGGCTCGGTCAGTGTGTTGATTGATGGCCACAATGTCGATGCTGCTCAGACAGTTCGCCAACCTCGGTGTTGTCCTTGATCCCTCATCAACCTTCGAACCGCACACGAACAAAGTCATTAAGGCTGCCTTCTTTCACCTCGGAAATATCGCCACGTTGCACCCCATTTCTCTCGTTATCGCACCTTCAGAAGCCGGTTCCGGCGGTTGCCTTTTCACGTCTCCAAGCACGTGCAAAATGCAGCACATTGCCTCTGCACCTGAGTCTCTTCATTGGTTACCGGTCAGTTTACGAGTGGGAGTTCAAGATCATACATCTCGCCCACAAGGCTCTCAACGATGCCTCCTCCCTCTTTCATCCGCGACCTCCTCCACCCGTACGTCCCAACGCGAGGTCTTGGGTCGTCTCGAGTGTGGGCTACTATCGCCTGTGCCGAGGTCGCACCTCAGCTCAATGGGGGCCTTCTCCGTGTGATCCCTACGCTGTGGAATTCACTCCTCGTCCGATATTCGATCTGCTGAGTCCCTCGGTTTATTAAAATCCCGCCTTCAGACATTTTTTTTCTTAAAGGCCTTTCCTCCCTGTGAATGTTGTTATGTGTTTTGGGAGTGTTCGGGGGGGGGGGGGTATTTGTATCTGTGGTTAAATCATGAGCCTGCGTGCTTATATTAGGTTTTAGAATTGCGTGAGTTATTTTTTACTTACTTGCTTTTTGCGCTGTGTCAGCTCATTGCGACCTCTGGATGAAACGCGCTTTATAAGTGTAATTTATTATGATTATGATTAATAATGTGAATCATAACACTGTATTCGTCGCGAAAGCCTACACGTGTTAAACGTGTCGGTCCCGCTATAAGTCCCCCATGTGTCCTCGGTCTCTACCGCACGCACAACTCGAACGTTCAGTTCCTGAAGAACGTGGAGCGAAACGTCGGACACCATGCCCAGCAACCCAAGCGGTACATGCCGAAAAAAACACGTTGGAGAGAAACGCAGTTCGAGGATGTGGAGGACCCCACTGGATGGAGATTGAGGTGGCAAGGGGTCACGAAGAGTGGAAAACATTGAGGCAGGCCTCAGCCCAGATATGGGACGATTATAACAAGAAAGCAGAATAAAAACGTAAAGTTTGATTGACTGTTTTGTTCCGTTTGTCCACTGGTGGACGTGTCCACTCATCATGATGATCATCATCGTCATCATCGTTGTGATTATCAATCCTTTATTTAAACCACTTTACAGCCAATTGGGATTTAAAGTGTGTGCTGTTCAACGGAGTTTGGTATTTTTTTTTAACCAAACAGGAACAATCCCATCCCAAAAAAAAACGTTGAACATCGGCATCACGTGTCTTGTGATAATATAATAACAAGAATTTTTAATTAAATATATTACATTGAACATTTCGGTGGCTTGTTTGTCCTATTTATGGGCGCGAGCGTTGCGTAACGTTCGCACGCACAGATGCCCCGTGGTGAAATCGTACTCTGGAGACGAGTTCCCACTTCGACGACACTTGCTCGGTGGAGTATAGCGGGCAAACGAGCGACAGCTGCACACCGCCGCCGCCGCCGCCGCCACCACAGCAGCTTGCACCACCCGTGACAAGTGGCCCGTGGTCTTCTTGTCCTCACAAGATTGCGAAATCCTTGCTCAAGCGCAGCACGTGCGATGCGATGCTTTGGCGACAGGGAGGGTTTTGGTGGATCACGTGGAGACAGGCAATTGTGGCGTGGTCCAGAGGTGACACGGAGCGCTGAGCCGGCACTGTTGAAATCCCGGGGGTTCGAAACTGGGGTTTTCGCCGCCCGTGGTTAAAACTTGGTTCTCTCCCCCTCCCCTTCGTTACCCCTCGCTATTTCCCGAACTTTCATGGTGCATTACGCCTGGTCTGTTAAACGTTATAATGCGAAAACGAGCTTTGTAGCTCATCGCATTCCTCCAGTGTCCAGAAGTATTCTCATTCGGATTGTTCCTCCCTGCTTTTGGTATTCCTACTGCATTCTGGGTTCTTGAAAGACAATGAAAAAAAAAGTGTGGTTACAACTACAACAACAAAAATCCCCACCACCCCCCCCCCCCCCTGGGGTTTCTCTGGAGTGTAGCGAGTTGATGGCGCCCAGCCTTGACACCGATGACCGCACAAGGGGAAAAAAAGCACCGTCTCATTAAATTCGTTTGCCCACGCTGGTCAATGCGGGTTGATGTAGCGGTGGCGGGGGGGGGGCAGGACTGGTGCAGATGTCAGGCGCCACTGACGTCAGCCAGTTGCTGGGAATTGAACTCAGGTTTTGTGGTGATGTGCAGTTGATATTCATATTCTTAGGTTTTTTCGGTAAAGTCAAAAAGTAAAAAAAAACTCAAAAAGTAACCTAAGAATATGAATCCTTGCAGTCACGAAAGCTTCAAATCTAGAAGTGCAGTTGGTTGGCCTCGATCTCTCTCACCTTTGACGATGCGATACTCATGGGGCGGCTAATGTCAAGGCTCAGTGTATCCGGTGCCGCACTGGGGTGGACTGAGTCACACATCTGCATCGTGGTCAAGCTGGGCGACGAACAGGGGGCCCGTCATGGGGCCCTTCCTATTTTCAACATGCGAATTCGAAATTTGGAAATTCTGGCAAAATCGCCCGATTAAGCTGGTCGTAATTACAAGCGAAAAGTTGTACTGAAATTGTAAACGTTGTGGGTTTACTTTCCAGCACACCGGTTTGCTCAAGTAGTAACCAATTGGCAAATTGTCTTTATGGGACAAACCTTACGAATGGGCTTTGTCACGTGGTGGCAGGTTAACGACACATTTATATTTATGGTTTCTAACCCAACAAATACCTTTATTAGATTCTTGGTTCTTTCGGTAAAGTCACGTAGAAGGGAAATAATAAAATAATAAAAATAAAACATGATACGTGACTTTACCGAAAGAACCAAGAATATGAATCCCTGCAGTCACGAAAGCTTTAAATCGACCTTGATTATAGTACACTAACACCCGCATTCACCATTCCACACGAACCAACGTGGTGAGGTTATGGTAAATAAAAACCACCTATGACCTAACTCAGTCCAGCCCATCCCAAACACGCCTCGTTATAATCCCACTCCATCCTCAATGCTCCTCATCCCCAAACTTTGTTCCGTCTCCTTTTGAACCGTGACTATTTCCAGTGCAGAACAACGGCCATCTCCAATGTTGTCTCCCGCTCTGCTCCATCTCCTGCCACTTCCACGCAGCGAGCACCTCCAAATCTTCTTATCTCTCGTACCTCCACCACATTGGGGCGCCACGGTGGCGAGATGTTAACTCCCTCACCTGGTATACAGGAGGTCGCGGGTTCGATCCCGACCTTGACGCCTGCTGTATATTTGGAGTTTGCATGTTCTCCTCGAATTCGCGTGGATTTTTCTCTTGGTCCTCCGGTTTTTCTCTCACCATTTACAAACACGCGTTTAGAACATAGTACGCCGCTTCGTTCAGCTATCATTTGTGGCCAGGTCACTTCTAAAAAAGAGCTATGGGTCCGTCCATAAATGACGTCACGTGATTTTGGACAATTTTTGACCCCCCTCCCCCCAATTCGTCACACGGCGTCACAAAAAGTCAGACCCCCTCCCTCAAATATGACGTCACAAAAAAATAAAACATGCTTCAAATCGCTTTAAACTAATGTCAATGTAGTGCGTATTTAATGTAGCGCTGCACCATGATGTTGTAGGAGAAAACATTTATATAAAAGTATATTTAATTAAGTAGAACGAGTTGTCTATATTTATTTAAAGTTGCGCATTTTGATGGGACGTCACATTTCTCAACCCCCCCCCCCCCTCGTCACACATCGTCACAAATGTCTGACCCCCCCCCCCTTAGGTACGTGACGTCATTTATGGACGGCTCTTATATATTTAGTGGGCCTTACCTGGTAAAATAAGAATAGTTTGGTTTGTAGTCAGTTTTCGTTCATTGTCCGTCCACTTCTCTGTCTTATTCCCTCTATCGGCTTCAATTCCGCGCTGAATCTCGCCCATCTGTCACGTGATGTTCCAGCTTTACGTTGGCTAGTCAGTTTTTTGTTGTTATATTTCACC